CTCAGGGTTACTGAGCAGCAGGCGACTGCTGGGCTGCCGGCTATGACGACGACTACTACTACTGATGCCTTGCCACTGATGCCTCTCTGTGCTTCTAAATCATATACTGTTGTTTCTCACCCCACCTACCTGCACTCTTTACTTGTCTGCAGGAAGAGTATAAGTGATGGAATAAGGGAGAGAAAGATAAGTGTTGGTGTTGGCGTCTTAACTACAGTAAGTGTAGTGTAGACAATGAGTAGTGTTGATCAGTCTGTTTTGGGAATGTTCCTGGGGAAATACCACAAAGGGCTTTTGTGATGGCAGGAATGAGAGGAAGCATTTTGTTTTCAGCTGTGCTGCGAGGAAGCCTTTTGTTTTCAGCTGTGCAGGAAAAAAATTGACGTTTTTTGTTTGTTCTGGCTGGCTGTTTGGTCCATGTTCTACAAAATCCTCCTTGACCCCTGGCTCTTGTTGACTCAGGTTAAAACTGAATAAGGTCTCTAAAATAACTCTGAAGTGATTCAGTTTTTATTGCATTGCAATGCTGTAGGGGATTATTTCTCACATATTTTGGGACATTCTCATGATAGATGATTGGTTTGGAGAAAAATAACTGCAAACTCTGCTTCATTCACAGTTGAATTCAATTCAGCTAACTACAGTACACCTAAACAGATATTTGTCAGGGTGCTTGTACGACAAGTGTTTGTGCATATGTGTGTATGCACCTGCATTAAGAGGTCGGTGAGCTTTGGTGCTTTGGGGGTTGTTGGGAGTGAGAGGAAGTGTTTACAGCAGGTGGGGTTTGTGCTGCAGACCCCTTACACTTGGTTCTCCTGCAAGCATTTAAACATCTGTGCCTGTGGGTAGAGACGGCAGAGAAGTCTGATCCATCGTTGGCAAAACTGGCATCATACACTTATGTCACTGTGTGTAGCAGGCATCTCAACTCAGTGCTTTTCATACCAGCATTAACACCAAACGGTGTGAATCAAAGTAAGGTTGTGCTCTATAGTCTTGTTTATCTGACTATTGTATAGTAGCTGTTGTGGGGATTGGACAGAGGAGGACGCCCTGATGCATCGTCAGATTCTTCATACTGGTTGAAGATGAGGGGGGCCACTATGGACCAAATGTCTCTTCCATGTCTATCAATGACAGATGCTGAAAAGCTGCAGGTGCAAGCTTGTCGCACATTGGAAACCTAAGCTCTGTACTCATTGCTCTAATGGATTCACACACACAGTCTCCCTCAAGTGTAATGTGGTTAGACCCCCCGGCCCAGATGCCTCATTCATGGCTGCTCAACAGCTGAAAGATTATCTGCCAGCCTCTCAAATGTTGGAACATTATCTATGCGCAGACAAACACAAGAGTGTGTGTGTGAGGTTTGGCAAGAGGTAATGAAAAGAGTTAATGTAACGCTCTATTCAGGATGGCTGGATGTTGTATACTTTGGTTCAGAAGTTGATAATAAGCCAAGTAACTGCAAATGTTGATGTCAAATGATGAAGGCAGATGCCCGGCCTTCCTCCCTACATTGACTCATAAATGGTCACTTCTCAGAGACAAAGCCTTTATAACCTAATTGTATTCTTAATCCCATAGATGAGATGACTTATCCTAAACTAGAAATTTAATCTGTTGATTTACAGCTTGTCCAGAAAATGAGGAAAAATAACAAACTGAACAGTGGACTCTGTGTCCCTGATAGCTGCCTTGCCTGTAAATCATGTTCTGTGCACGTCAAAGTACTGTACATGGTGACCTGCGTTTCTCTCTTTTTTTTTTTTTTTTAAATATCTAAAATATTAGCTTTCATTATCAGGAAAAAAAACAAATAGTTAAATTGTCTATCATAGGTAGTTTGTCTAGGATAAACTAAAAATAGTGTATTTGTTCAAATTGTTTAAAAGCCACTGAGAAAAATGAGTTAGGAGGAAATACAGAGGATGATAGATGAGACAGATAAGTAGAGAGCAAAAGGATTTACAGAATGTGGCAGTGTGTGAAAGACCTCTGAGCGATAGTTCTAATATAGTGAAGTGATATGAAAAGGAGGAGATTTAACACGTTTCTCTTAGACCGTGTTGGTTTGATTGGCATGTCACAAGGGGAGAGTGTGAGGAGGAGAGTGAAATAGATTTGCAAGAAAGCTTTCCAAATAAAGCTCTGTAACTCTGGCATGGACACTGGGAACTT